TTTTTAACCACAAATATAATCCTATCTTATCTCTGTCCCTATCAGTTACACAGAGCCACCAGGTTTTGTATCAGCTGCACACATTTTCAATGTCAATGTGCTTTACGTCACTTAGGTTGACGCCAAATAGTGGGCCTTTACGCAGTTCCAATTTTTAAAATGAGCATAATCAGTCTTGCATAGCATCTTTATATGGGACGATTTTGGAATTCTTAATAATTATGTTAAAAGTGGAACTTGCAACCAGACGGTTTCTAGTGCTTTTGTTGGTGCTGAGAGTTAATGTCAAATTGCCCTTCAAAAAGTGTGTCACATGCATACTCTTATCCGGGGTATACGACAGTGTCTGCTTCTTCATAAGCTCCCAACCTGGACGTTGACAATCTTTATTTTGAGCCCACGGTCTATGAGAAAGACAGAAAACACAGCCTCTCCATTTCTAAGTCTCTTCAGTGCTTTCAGGAAAGCATAATGTCATTCCCACTTTAGGATCCTGTATTTCTTATTTCTTTGTCAATGAAGTACTTTTTCGTATAATGTTCCTATGTTCTATAGGCTCCGGCTTCATTTTTTTTTCCTGGGTAGCAATAAGCAGGATTTCTTCATTATAGAAATTGGCCTTCAAATTTGCCATCAGCGATAAATCTTGTCATAATCTGTTTGCATTTTTTGTTACTTTTTGCAATCAGTTCTTTTCCTTTTTAAGTAAAATGGTCAAATTTACCAAGGCTTTCTTTATGGCTTTGTGATGTAACATTCTGCTTAGAAGGCATCGTCTCACTACAAGATTTTAAAATTAATTCAGTCGTATTTTCTTCTGCTGATTTTGTCATTTTTCTTCCCTTTTTTTTCAAACACTTGGGTCCATCGGGAATTTTTTTAGTGTGAGGGGGGAAGAAAATGCAGGTTCACTTATGAGCAGAAGAGTAAAATGATCAGAGCCAAGCTGTAGAAATATAAATCTGGCAGCAGCTTATAACTTATAATGAACAAGAAAGAGGCTTAAGCAAGGAAACCTGGTAGCTGAGATATAATAGCACCAGGGATTTGCGGGTTGGGGAGAGAGCTGCAGCCACACAGCAGAAGCAGCAGCAGTGCAGAATTTCACTAGGCCAATCCAGGAACAGCCCCAAGGATGCTATATCGACTCAAAGGGTTCTTAGAACCATTGGGGAAACCTTACTGTTTTCTGGCATAAAACTTCACA